AAATACATCTACCTTATGTTGGTGTGGCTTAAAACAGAAATATCTGAAGATAGGGTCTGTGAGGGTAATTATTTCTTATGTAGCATCTCAGACGCAGGCTTTCTGTTCTTTTCTTGGTGTTGGTTTGTTTATTGTGAGAACTGGAAGGAAACATTTTGACCTTAGAGTAGAACTTATGGGTGAGAACATGACTGGCATAAATGAGAAGATATGTATTGGATAAAAGAATATAAAGAAAGAAAATTTAAAGGTAAAATTAACAAGACTTTTAAAACCCAGACTACTGAGGGGTGTAATGGGTGTTATACAAATAAAAAATAAGAATACAAAAGTACTTTTGGAGAATGTTTTGAAAACTGAAGCCATTTGTTTATCGAAAGAGGGACAGTTTGAGCAGCATCAGGCCAGAATGTTCCTGTGTGTGGCATGCCCAGATTGAAGATAACACAATTATTATAACATAGTTTCAATTCAGATCTCTCCTCAGTGTTTCTGCCCAGAATTCAACAAGATTGTCCTTTGGCAGGCTTATTCCTACAAATCAAAGCTAAGTAAATGGTAGTTCAGTATTTCAGCCTATTAAGTATAATTTCCAGTAAAAAGATTTGTCATAAATTATGAAAACTCTATGAACTCTAGTCTTAGACATATCCAGTTTTCAATTCAACTGTCTTATTTTACTTTTTGGATATAGACTAATGGAAAAGTTAGGAGAATACTAGTAGAACATCTCACAGCACACCTCCTGAACACCGTTCTTTTAGTCAGCCTCAGGAGTGTTACTTAGAAATCGAAATGCAGTATATCTCTAACACAAGTGTTTGAACACAAGGGAAAACTCTCAGAATTGTCCAATTTTGTTGAGAGAGAATGTTCTTATGTACACAGGAATTTCTTTTGACCCTATTGCTTTTAATCCATATCCTATGCATATTTTTTTCTAACAAAATTTTTAATATATTTTTTGGCTAGTAGGGAATTAGTATATAAACAGCAATAACAAAAATAACTTAAAATATTTAACATGTTCTTTATATATATATTTAAATTATATTTACATTTTGAATTGATATATTTCCTTCATTTCAGCTCTTTTTGTGTATATAGAGGAATGTATTTGGTTTGTTTTTAACCTTCTGCTATTAGGAAGGGTATCTGTTTTTTGGATAAGGTTTTAGGTTATTTCTTTAAAGTGGCATAGCTACTAGCTTGGAGGACACTTGATTTTCTGTTTATATATAGTATAAAAGGAAATAGAGTAGAACTTTTGGTGTGAGTGATCAGCAGACCTTTTATGACAAAAGAACAACAAAATTGACAACTTGTGCCACACTCTCCAAATAGATTTTAAGGTTCATGAACATAGTGGCCATTTCTTCTTCAACTCTTTGAGCCCAAAATGCTTTGCATACAGTACTTTGAAATATTTGTGCATGATAAATATTTCTTAATATTTGTGTATGATAAATATTTCTTAAATCAATTTGGACTTGTTAGCAACTTTAAGTTGGCTCTAATAAATGTTTCATTTGGTTTTAACTATATATAATGAATAGTGGTGTCTCAAATATAAATTTTATATCAAAATTTTTAATGAATCAAGTCTAATGATATGGTAGATTTAATAAAATGATAGAAACAATGGCATTCATTTGGTCTTCAGTTTTCCAAACATTTTGAAAATTTTCCAAATTTTAAAAGGAATTTGACATTTAGTAAAGGTAAACCTCTATAATGAAAGATTTCTAAATGTTTGTGTAGTTGATTGGTTTGTGAAATTGTGATTAAGATCAACTTAAGATATTGCATATTGAAATAACATTCTGAATGTCAAATGGTATTATAGATTTCTAGATATTTAAATGATGAATTATAGATATTTTTCTGCCTTGTGTAGACTCAGAGATAGCTTTTAACTATCTGGAAATGTTATGTAATACACTGTGGTCAGTGACATTTTTTTCATTATTTTTCCTTTTCCTTTTCTTTCTCTCTTTTTTTTCTTCATTTTCTTCTTCTTCTTTCTTCTTTTTTTTTTTAGACTTCAAGTTTTTTTTTTCTCTTTTACCTCTCCACTGTCATATGCCATGGGTCCTGAACATAGCTCATTGCCTGACCGGAATAATCTCTCTTGCCAGCTTATAATCAAAGGGAGTACTGAGAAAAACAGCTGAGCTGTATTAGGCAACCACAGTCTGGAGTGCATTTCTTAACTGCTGAATAACACATCACAGGTGCAGGATTAGTGCTGCCTATGGTGCTGGGCTTTTTAGTGGAAACCCCTAGCAATTCTGTGCCTCCTCCTCATGTCTCTCATCCCAGGGAGCCTGGCAACGATATATCAAGCGTACAGAAATCAAAAGTGAGTAGTGGGAGAAGATTTATATCTCACAGAGACTTTTTTTTCCCCCTCCAAAAAATGTAAGCAAGATGAGCAAAGCCAATTCTGGCACAATAAAAGAAGTTAGAACTTAGCCTTTCTTGGCATAGATGATGAAATAGCTAATTCAAGGGGATAAAAAATTTTGTCTACAAAAATTACATGGCAAGAAAATACCATTTAGCTGAACTCTGCTGGTACTGTGTAATTTAGATTATTTTAAAGTTAATGATATTCTTACATATATATTGTTTTAACTTTTATGTTGTATGTGTTGGAGAGTGTGTGTTTACTCCTACACGTTTTCATCACTGTCATGGTTAAAATTAAGTGTTGTGGCTGTGTAAATGTCTTGTGGTTTAATTTTTTATAGTTTTGGACGTTGTGAATTCTTTTACTATTAATGTATCACCTATACAATTCCAAATTCATAGATTATAAAGATCTAGATTTCTTTTTTGCGAATATGAGTTTTTAAAAATGCAAAATGATTCTTTAAAGTACAAATGTAATGATTTAGATGTTAGATCAAATGTATGTTTCAAATATATCGTTACTAAGTTATTTATTTTTGACCAAGAAGGATATAAATTGAGCATGATAAAGTATGCATTTGGAGAAGCGAGGGCAAGTATATTTTAGTAATTCATATCATTTTTGGCAACTGTCTTAGTAAATTTTTCTGTGACGCACAACAGATAAGTGTAAAAGCTACATGGATCAGCACTGCAGATTTTAAACAGCTTTTTTTTTTGGTTTACAGTTTTTTATCTTAAAACTGTGATATATTCCTAATGTTTACATTTCATTCTTATTCATTTTATTGCTGGTGATAATTATTCCATATTGTTTCACCAGAGATAGACCTTTAAAGTCATTGGTGATGAGAATAATTGATAATAATGTTTAGCTTAAAATATCTGTATTTTATACCTTAAATATTTAAACATTTGAACTAGTAACATATTTGTATATTTTTAAGTCAACAATGACTAAGGTTACCTGTAACAGTTATCTTATTAGAGGATACAGTAAGGACTAGAAGCAGAGAGGTTATAAATGCTTTCCAGGGTTTTTCTTTTGGGAAGAAGAGTAGCAGAAACATGATGATTTGGTTTCTGGTCTGTCTGGCTTCATTGTCACTTCTCTTCTTTACATATATGAATCTACATAAATACTTTTATACACTAGGCTGTCTTGGGAGTGCTTTGCAAAGCTAGAGTAAGTTTTGGTGTGGAGGCAAGTTGAACATCTACTTTTATTAGCTTCAGAACTCTGTGAAGCAGAGCATTCATAGAAACTCTGCTGAATTAAAAACAAAACAAAACAAAACAAACCACAGCTCCTGGCTTGGAAATCTGCCAAGTTCTAGTTGACTCTTTGACATTATTGTCAAAGAGACCACGGTTCGGTTTCTTTTCTAACAATGTGGACCTGAATTGACACATTACATATTTTAAAATACAGAGGCATTTTTAATTTTTAATCATTCTATCAGCGGAGATTATGCTATTTTATGACGATGGCTTCAGTTTGATGTTACATATTTTTAAAATCATGGTTACTTGCTTGTCAAGGTAAGTTTTTTCTTATGTTGTTGCTTTTATTAAAAATACTTACAAAGAAGTTGTGTTTTAGAGGTTTTTCAAAGGTTTTTAATTTAAACATTTTGAGTTTCTCTAAATTCAAAAGCAGAATAAAACCTAAAGGCTAGCTATTGTTTTAACTTTAAAGAGCATAGTTGTGATGTCCAAAATTGCTATCATAATTATTACTCTTACTGAGGTTTATAATTCTGTATTAATTACCTAGAAAACAAATAAATATAAATGTGTATGTTGTCTGTTGACTTGTATGTCATATTTACTCTTTTCATGAATTTTTTAATGTTATAGTCTGGAATCACGTGAAATAAAACGATTGAGTGATTGAAGCTTTTACTTTTTATTCAGATGTTTTTAGGTCTCTTGGCAGAGTTTTTATAGTATAAAAATGTTGAAAATATGATGATCCCTCATAACCTGAGTGATGTGGTAATGTCGATGTGTGAGTATGGTGAAAAGAGAAACACTTGCCAGTGAATAGAAACACCCACTAAAATCTATGAAGCCCTGGTTTCTAGAGAGAGCCAGCACTTCTTTAATATTTAAAATTAGTGTTTCACTTAACCTATTCATTAGTGTCCACCATGTGTGGCTGAAATGAAAAACTGTCAATATCCCTGGTTTTGGTGCTTATGGTTTCCATAAAAGATACTGATTCATTACTGCCACACAAAGTAATCTTGCGTCTTAGGCACTCCTGTCTAGGACTTATATTTGGCAATTATGTGGCATTGTGACACCTCTTTCATTGTTTTCTTATACTCTGTTTTGGCTCTCCATATGTAGTTAATTTGTCTTGCAGTGTTCCATGGGTAGCTGATTTGTCTTACGAGCAAGATTGTTATTTTATTGAGGACACCTACACCTACTCTGGGTCATTGTGTTATATAGATGGATTTAATGACTGTTTGCTAAATGAATCAATATACAAAGAGATGAAAGAAAATTCATATTTTAGTCATCCTTGCACAAACTTTTAGTGTGTTTCTTAAGCCAAAAAACTTATGTTTTTATAGACTCTTTGCCCATGGTGATGAATCTATAAAGAAGGAAAAGTAAAAGGCGGTAAAATGAAGCAAAAGAAAGAGGATCTGAATCGCAAGAGGAGAGCAGGTAGGGGAAAACATAATAGAGAAGAAAAGGAAAGGAAGACAAATAGAAATGGGAGATAGTAGGGAAAGGAAGAGAAAACTGAATGGTAAGCGTCAGCAGCACAGAAAACAACAATTTATTATTATTGCCTCTTACTGTGTGCACAGAACCACAATTGATGCTTTATATGGATTTCTCATCCACTCCATTCCAACCAGTGAGTGCGGCTAACTCTCCACATCTCCTGTAAGGAAGGGTATAAACCGTTTGCTAAGCCCGTTACGTGGCTGACCTGGAGTTTGAACCCATTTGCCTGTTTCACCCTACATCCTCATCAAGTCTGGCTCCACTGTTCAGTGACCATACCTGATATTGCTTTGTCATCCGACATTTCACGCCCTCCATAGCATGTCCAGGAATTTAGCACCAGCATCTTCCCTTATCTGTCTCTCATCTGACATCTGTCTGTTGGAGGAGAAAGATTTCTGTATATGTAACATCACTGTTAGAAAATCTACTCTTTCCCTACATATGATTTTTCTCTGGTATTTTTAAATAAAAATTGTATTTCTATTTTGTTACTTTCCAGAAAAGTTTAGGCATATGTCCCAACTTATTATTTAGTATGTTTATATAATTTTTTTTCCTAAATTTTTGCTGCAGAGAGCATAGACAGTGATTCATTTGAAAGTACTTTAGTATAAAGGAAAGTGGTTAGTTAAGGAAAATGAAAGTCAGGTCTTTTAAATTGAAAAAATTAGATAGTAAATTGAGTTAAATGATTCAAAGATTAAGTGTTGAAAATTAGAATTAGTTATTAAACTGATATCACTAAAAGTTATTTGAAAAATTAATATTGTTTTAAAGCTCTAATCAGAGTTTTATTCCTGTGTGAAATAGACTCTTTTAAAAAAACCTGTGAGTATTTAGTTTTGGTTAAGAAAGAAAATGGCCATTGACTTGCATTATTTGTTACCACAACAATACAAATAGGGTAGGATGGGTCATTCCCAAAGTTGTTGCTAGCCAATTCAGTACTTTAAAATTTTTCTTCCACTAACCTATTTTCCCTAGACACTTAAAGTGCAAACTTGTGTAATATGAATTTCTATTTCTGTTCTTGCTCCTGCCTGCCCTCTGGTGTATAAAGTGTATAACAGTGATGAGAACCGATATTTTGTTAAGTTTTGTGATATTCAAAGAGTTTAAAATGAAAAGGAATAAAGGAAGGTAATTAGTAGACCTTGTGTAGCACAAAATGATTATATGTCACTTTTTAATGAATCTTAAAGACATATTCATTTCTAAGTGCATTACATATTGAATTAAATATTACTTGGATTATCTCTTGTTCATACAGATATTTCTCTGTGTGTTTAAATGTGACAATGGATTTTGATACTGTTTTCACTGTCTATGACAAACCAGTTCTTTATATCACAAATTTAAAATTATTTATGATATTGTTAGAGTGATAATGTTACTAAAAAATAAAACAGTTAAAACATACTTTAGGATGTAATGGATTAATATTGAAGATAAAATTTTAATTTTAATATTGAAGATAAAATTTTTTGTAACAAACCCTTGATACTATGAATTTTCTTTTACATTTTACTTTTGTTCTGCTTTTGTTTTTTTTCTATAAAAATCGTGTAAGTATATAATAATATAATATAGAAATATTTTTAAAATAAAGAACTGATTAAGTATACACATTCAATAACAAGTTATTTTATTATGTTTATATGAGGTGTCCAGCTTATTATTGTTTACTGTTTTCAATTAAATACTTTAAACTATAACTCTACCTTATTTTCTACAAGAGGAGATTCCATAGAAAACATACACATAGCTGAAAATATGTATATAACTGCAACTTTTTTTTTCCAGAAAAGGTATTCAGGATATTCAAGAAAAATAACTTTCTTTTTAATCCTTGTAGTTGAATGGAAGTCACAATATTGCATTCTGATCATTAGGTAATTTCATGAAATCTGACTAATTTGCCTGAAAAATCTATGTCTATTTCTAAAGAAATATTCTTAAAGATCTATTTTTATATTATTTCTTAGGATAATAGGAATGTAATTTAGTTGTGATTCAGTAACATACACTCAAACATCTTATGAAAATAATTCTGTGGTTCATTTGCACTCCCGAAATCTAATGATCGTTGGAAAAATGAGAACCAATTTTAGAGTGGCTTACAAAAGGCTTATTTTTTATTATCATAGTATTTTAGATAGTTAACTACCTGGATTAACTATAGTGTAACAAGGTAAGTGAACCACACATGTGTAGTGTCTGGATTTACACTGTTTTAAAGATCGGTTATTGAAGAGAGAAAGAGGGAAGAAGAGAGAAGAGAAGGGAGGGAAGGATAAAGGAATAAAAGAAACAGCAAAACGGAATGGGCTGTTAATGAATGACTTATTTGATGTAGTGTTTATTCCTGAGACATTTTTCGAAAGGGTAATTTTTCTCAGTTTTTTCTTTATATTTTCTGTCAGGTTTATTCATGATTCTGTTTTTAAATATTTATTAAAAACCTATAATCATTTAAAATGAAACTGGGAAGAAATAATCTATTTTGTTATCATTTGCTCAGCAATTAATTAGAAACTACTATTTGACTTTCTTTGGTGAAAATCTTTTTTTGTAGATTTTACTCTCTTGATTTAGTAAATGGAATGTACTAAATTACATTGAATTATTTTTAATGGTTAGATACCTTCGAGGTGTTTTCAAGGATTATCTTTTTTTTATAAGACTAAAAATCAAGTAAAATGAGGGTTTAATTAATAGCTTATTTATATGAGTCAACTAAATCAAACTTTTACCTCTTGATGGCTGCCTTTCTCTCACTTCAAATGGAAGGATACTAATATAATAAAATGTGAGAAAGTATATTCTTCTATGTTACTTTAATTAGATATCTGATATTTGGGATATATCTTCATTATTGCTAATCCATGATGTTTGTTAATTATCTGGATGTTTACGTTTATTATGAATACATACCACGTGTCTTTCCTTCTATATTTCAGCATGATAATTATCAGGCAGATTCATGTTTTCATAAAATGATTATTTCTATATATGCAAGTAATTGCCTTTTTAATGTCATAGTTGATATATTCTATCTTGTTTATGATTCAAAATGCCTGGCTTGTGTCTGTGAGGCTGGATTTTCTACAGCTTCAATATGATTTGATGTTAAAGGGATCCTTTTATAAATACCTTTGCATAATTATAAAGTTAGATAAAACAGTCCAGTTTCTCATTGGCCTTTTTCTCAAATGTGGACTACACATGAAGAAGATCTCACCACTTTATTTTTCATAGTTTTCTTAGCATTTAAGGTGAGTCTCACCTTAAATTCTGCTGCTGCATCTCTTTCACCTTATCTTATGTCTCTTAACCTCCACATTATCAATTATTTTAAAGTTATCAGGTGATTGGAAATACTGTGACTCATGTTATAATTTTGATTCACAGAGAATTAAATACATTTTGGTTAATAAGTAATTTTATACTTTTAGATAAATTACTTTTTTGGTTTTGTTATTTTGACAAAGGTTAGTGAGGAACTCTTCACCTTTCCCAGATTTACATTTTAACCTTTTATTTATTAATGCTTAATTACATCCAGTCACTCCTCTCACTACTTGTATTCAATTCATATTTCATGAAGGCAACCATACATGCTCATTCAGGATGTTACCTGTTAATAACTCAGTTTATAGGAATGGTGTCTGAGTTAGCCATAGTTTTAACCTTTTGTTCTTACGAATGGGTTTCTGGTAAAATAGCATATATTCAGACTGCATGTTAAAATTTTAAGTATTTTTAGAAAGATTAGAAGCAGTGTTTCATCTTCACAATTTTTATATGAAGGATGGTTCTTACCTGATTTGTCAAGTGTTCGAGAGCCAGGATTTGACTATAAAGATTGTTTAAGGCAACCAGACAGATATTTTTCCTTAATAACTGAAGTAGTTAACAAAGGATATTCTAAAAAAATACTACAAAATAGATTGGCAATAACTAACAATATCAAATGTGAAATGTAGATTTACCAACTATTTGAGCACGCATGTATACATAACACATGAAAACACGGTGAGCCGTAAGTGGATTTGGTGTTAACTACCAAGCTGTTGTCGTTGGTCCAAAGGGCAATCCCATAATGAAGATTAGTTAGAGAAGTTCCTTCTTGGCTGGATTCTCTTTTGATGTTCCAGTTCTTCATTGTTCATTGATGTGCTTTATTTCACAACGGAATATGTGACTAATTATTTCCTTATATTGAGCTGACAAGGAATTTGTAAATGCATTTAAATAGCTCCAGCTATCATCTGTTCTAATTTGCTACTCCATAGATCCTTGTAGATGTAGAAACATGAAGGTAGAAACAGGAATTATAGCCCCTTTAAAGTAGATTTTGAAAATTTTATAACACAAAATTCAGTATTCCCTGTCAGAGATAATCACATTTTTCTAAAAGATGTAGGATCTTCATGTATTTCATCAGTAACCATAGGGTGAAGTGAATCCTTCTATACATCACTCTGTGTTGTACACACACACACACACACACACACACCCACACCCCCACACCCTAGTAGCTTTGTTTTGACATAGTTTAAAGAGATTTATTTATTTTTTATTTTTTAAAAAAGCATCCTCCCAGCTTCTCCTTTTCCTACAGCACCTGTGCCTCTTTTTATTGTTTCGGTATTTTCCTCTATACCTCTAAATAAATACTGTACTACTGCTTTTTGATTATTCAGTTTTAAGCATTACCTTTGACTTTCCACTATCAAAGATGAGAATTCAGTTGTTATTTTCCCATCCCTACACCCACTACCTATGTACATATTCCCGTCTCCTGTCCTACATGTACAGAGTTTAAATATTTGTTTCCTTAGTCCCCTGTGTTCTCATTACAAATGTGTTTCCAAACTCAATCAGTTTAAATTTAAAATACGTAAGTCATTTTATTAATTTCAACATCTTAAGAGTTCTCTCTTTTAAATCTTTTGACCTGCCTTTAATGAGGCCTGCTTGCTCCTGAGGTCCTATGCAATATCTCATTTTATTATCCACATTTACCATTATCTTGGAGGTATGTTTCATCTTTTTTTGGAATGGATCTACCATCAGCAGATCCTATTTCATCTGCTTTCTTGTTTATACCTTCATTTGGATGGAACATCTCCTCCAGTAACTTTCTGAGACATACATGGGAGGTACATTTTTGAGAATCTGAAAATAATAAAATGCTTCCCCCCCTCCCCCATCCTCAATCTTAATTTTCCCAGGTATTTATTTCTTATTTGGAGTAATTATCCCTCTGACTTTTGTAAGCACTGTTCTATTTTATTGTAGTTTCCTGTTTTTCTGAACAAAGTTCAATGCCGTACTTACTTTTTATCTCTTTTCTCTTTTTCTCTCTCACATTTCCTCTCTCTTGAAAAAATGTAGGATGTCTCTTTGTCTTCAGTGTCAAAAATTTTACAGTGACATGGTGTGGATCTGCTCTCATGCACTATGGGGTCTTTCAAATTAAAAGCACATGATTTTTCATTATGAAAACCTTACATGATTTATTTATTTGACGAATTTCTTTTCTTTGTTTTCTCGTCTCTCTTTCTAGAGCTAATATTATTCAGATGTTAAGTCTGAATTTATGCTCTAAGTTACTTAAGTTTTCCATCTTTGTATTTTGTACTGTGTTATAGGAGATTTCTCAATCTTTATCTTTCAGCTCACCTGCTGGGATTTTCATTTATACAATTATATTTTTTAAGTTCTTTGTTATTTTCTTTTTATAGCAATGTGTTCTTGCCTTATTGATGTAATGTATTTTGTAAGATGAATTAATTTTTTTAAGTTTTTATTTTCTTTCATATAATTTACTTCTTCCAACTAGTATTTGTTTTATTCTCAGTTTTTGATTTTTGAGGGTTTTTTTTTCCCAATATCTATTGACCTTGAATTAGTGGCTCATGTGTATGAGAATGGATCATAGAAGAGCTGACTAGAAGCTGTGTTGTCACCAGTGAGCCTCATGTAGGATAACATTACAGGGTTATTTCACTGAGAAACCCACAATATCACTGTCTTTATGCTCTTTATTCTTGACCTGGTCACATTACCCAGTAAAGAAGGGGCATACCAGGCTGCATTGAATTCTGGCAGCCACATGGGGAAGGTGAACTAGAGGAGTCAGCATCCAGAGTGAATGTTCACTGACTGCTTGCAGTAAGATGGTACTTCTGCCCTCTTCTGTGCTTGGTGTCCTTCAGTCCTTGGCCTTGATGGTGAAACAGAAAAATTAAGAAGACATCTCAGTGATATGTGTATTACATTTACTCTTCTAGTCTCCTGCAGGGTTAGGAAAGAAATACTGCTAGCCTGTAGGGAATAGTAAAGGATATCTGAGGTTTTAATTACTGTACTTATAAATATATTTTCAGCCTCCTTCTGTTTTTAATATTTGTTTCCTTAGTCCCCTGTGTTCTCATTACAAACACATTTCTAAACTTCTAGTCAGTTTAAATTTAAAATCCATAAGTCATTTTATTAATTTCATCTTTTGACCTACCTTCAGTGAGGCAGGTCATTAGAAAATGATGTTTTTCTTTAAAAAGTACAAGATATACGTGATGTCCCCCTCACTTTTAGAAGTACCTTGTGATACCATTTCGGGAGCCTTTTTGGGGTTAAGCAGTAAAGCTTTGCATCTTAGCTTTTCCCATGTTTGGCTGAAGAATCAGCTTTTGTAGCTTTGTTAAACCAGTGACTGCTTGTCTTTCTGCTTTTCAGGTTTTTACTGCTAGTGCCTTCTCCCTAGATCTCATATTATAGCTTCATTTTCTTTGCCCCTTTTTCTCTTATTGTAGTGGGGTTGAATAACTAGAATTACCTGTAAGTAAAACCAAAAATTATAACATTCTTCCTTGTCAGTATACTTTGACATCAGCATTTTAGTGGCTATATAGGAATCCTGTTTTACAAATATATCTAAATCCTCTACTGTTGTAAATATGAGTTGTTATAAGCAATATAGCAAAGAACCTTCTTTTAGCCAAATTTTAGAAAACTCTTTAAATAAATTCACAATGGGACAAAATCATGAATTTTCTCTTAAAATGTTTCTTAGAAAATGGCATCCTACTTCCAATCACATGAGGATGTTTTCTTTTCTATTTTAGACCATTTGGTGTCAGTGTTCCATTTAACAGCCTTTCCCACCAACTGGCAAATTCTGTGTATGTTTAATTCATCCTAGTTACCCAGGCTGTGGCTGGAAATATGGGGAGGGGGTGGCAACCAATACATACTTGCTAGTAGACATTTGTATAATAAATGAATTTTTATTGTGGGTTAAAGCATCAAAAATAAAGGGTTTGGTATGAAAGGAGATACGAAGTAGTAAGTTTTAAATACTCTATTTTTATTAATTGGTCTCCTGAGGTGACTCAGGTCATAAAGGACAGTAACATTGAGAACCAGATTAAAAAATAAGGAACCAACTATGACAGGATGAGATATAGGTACACCCACACACGCTACCCTGGGATAGCAGCGGTGCTGCACTCTTACATGGACAAACTTGAAACAAATGGCTTTCAAGATGAGGCAGTGACATAAACTATTTAACTTCCCTTTATTTGAGAAATTAACCTAAGGATGAGCATACTATTACACAGAAATAATACATTTATTGGGAGTCATTGTGTGGCTGGATTACATATTATTCGCTTAATCTAGTCTAGGGTTTTTCTAAGTGGAGTCTACAAGTAATTTGTTTCAGAATTACATGAGTTCTTGTTGAATATACACATTTCCTGGCTCGCCTGTGACCTACAGAATCATAATCGCTGTGGCTAAGGGTGGGATTCTGCATCTGGCAAGCTTCTCATATGCCGCAGGTGCCTACTACAATCAACATTTTTTTTTTCCTGGACAAAATTTATGAGAAACTATTTGAGAAAGTTAGATGCACATCTTGTATAAATTTGAATAATCTAATATTAGAGTTAATATTAGAAAATTCTGATGTATTGATTTAACATATTTTATTGCTTTTTCTTTCAACTGTTTTTCCCTGTAAGAATTTTATTTATTAGTTTAACATGCAGAAAGTCAGGAAAAATTCTCACGGATTAAAAAAAATAAGCTTCTAATTCTCTGATGGAACCATTGCCTTCAGGCATTCATTTTTGGCTTAAAAATATAACAAATGTGTGGCATATCTTTTACTTAGGACCTAGAATTTCAATTTTTGATCAGTAATTTCTAAATAATATTTTTATTGATCTTTGATTTCACCATAGACAAGCTGGTTGTGTTATGAGAGAGATTTTAAATTGAAAATTGCTCATGGTGACAATTGATGCAGTAACATTGCATGTATTAGAGCTCTTACTACAGTGCCTGAAACATAATGGATATCAATTAATGCATACCCTCTTCTATGTAAGATAAACATTGTAAACTCTTGACATGAGGTTTGCTGCCTATAATTATCTCCATTTTAAGGATAGGCATATGAGTCACAAGATTCTTTATAAAATCATCTAAGGACAACTAACTTGGTAAATAGTAAAGCCTAATGTTGAACCCAGAACATCTTTTTCTGAGAGATCATGTCTACCACAATGCCTTCTATCAAAGATGTTAGAAACATCACTACAGTCATAGGTAGGCATTTTGCAGATGTATCTTTTGAAATGTATCTTGATATTAGCTAAGTTTGTATCTTCCTACCCAATTTTACAGATTAAATATTTCTAATAATTTATTGTTTTTGTTTGTTTTTATTGAGATGGAGTCTCGCTCTGTTGCCCAGACTGGAGTGCAGTGGCGTGATCTTGGCTCACTGCAACCTCCGCCTCCTGGGTTCAGGCGATTCTCCTGCCTCTGCCTCTGCCTCTGCCTCCCGAATAGCTGGGACTGCAGGCACATGCCACCGTGCCCTGCTGATTTTTGTATTTTTAGTAGAAGCGGGGTTTCACCATATTGGCCAGGCTGGTCACAAACTCCTGACCTTGTGATCTACCCGCCCTGGCCTACCAAAGTGCTGGGATTACAGGTGTGAGCCACCACGACCGGCCCTAATAATTTCTTTAAAAAGTACATGATATACTTAAAGTAGAGACACTCAGTGATATAGTAGAAAGACAGTTTTAAAGATTAAAAAATTTGAGTTTAAACGCTGGCTCCATAGTCTATTGGTTGTGTACAGATCTCTTAAACTTTGAGTCTCAATTTTCTCATCTGAAAAATGGGGATGATAGTATTTACCCATAGAATTACCAGACACAGTAGAGGTTATCTATATAATGTCTCATTGAGCTTATTGCACTCAAATATAGCTATTATAATTTAACACATAAAATACCATCCTGAAAGGATTATGGGTCTTTCTTTATTCTGTATGAGGCATATACTATGTAAAAGGCATGGTTTTAATTAAAATACCAAAATGTCTGATTTTCTGTTTAAGTCTTTAAGTATCTTGAATACTTCATTTTAAAATGTAATCTTATATTTTCCTTTGGACACAAGTCTGGGTTAGCCTACCCCACAGATGCCTAACTGTCACTATTTCTTTTTTCAGCAAACTTCCTTGATAACATGCTTTTGCGAAGTGCAGGAAAATTAAATGTGGGCACCAAGAAAGAGGATGGTGAGAGTACAGCCCCCACCCCTCGTCCGAAGATCTTGCGTTGTAAATGCCACCACCATTGTCCGGAAGACTCGGTTAACAATATTTGCAGGTTGGTGATATAAATGATATAAACCTAGCTTTAACAAAAAGTCACACTTTTCAACTATACAACTGTAGAATAGTTTTTCAAAGAACACATTTCAGAGAACAGTGCCTAACACTATCATAAACTCTGAGAGCTGTGCCTGTATTAGAGAAATACTGAATTGTGAATTAGACAGCACACATACACATAAACACAGACCTCAGATCCCCGGCTCCTTGTAAAGTTGCAAATGCCAATTACTTTCTTTGAAAAGACCTGATCCCTACAACTAGTTAAACATCATGAGCTGTCAAATATGTGTGATTTTGTTTATTTGATGCTGATGTTGTTAGTATTTTGGAAAGAAAACCTAAGCTGCCGGGAATATTCATCAACTGGTTCTGGGAGAGAGTACAGTGGTAGAGCTTACGTCATTCCCCCAGTTGCTAAGAAGGACATTGTCCAAATACTAGAAAATGAACTCTTTAATAGGTAAACATGTTTTTAAACTTTATAACATTTGAAACTAGTCTATTTTGCCTTTTTCTTCCTTACATGTCAGTATGCAGCTCCATCCATTTCGCTGATCATGATAGCTGCATTTACTCCTTATGGTAAGGACCACAGTGGATAAAGAGCTATAGCTTAATGAGGCTAGTGTGTGCCCAGAGAGAGAAGTGGGTCAGTTAACCGGATGAGTGTAGCCCTCCAGAGTTAAAATGTCAGCGAAGTAGAGTGTGCCTCAAGAGAGGGCATGGACTGAAATAGAAAGGTGGACTGCTAGGTTTAGAGTCCAGGTAGAGTCCAGATGAAAAGAGCCAAGTTCCAATCTGGACATGATACATTTGAGGGTTGTGATGTGTCTGAATGGAGGTATCAGTATGCAGTTGGATATGGATCTGAGGTTCAGAGAAAAGGTTGAAGAGAAAGGTCAAAGTATGCAGAGTATTAGTCACTGGGCAACCATTTGGGGCTTCATTAGACAGAAGGTGCACAAAGCTGAGTTGAATGCTTTTTTTTTTTTTCCTTTCCGAGAGCCTTTAAAACATTTTTTTATGTTTCCATGAAGCAAAATCCTGATATAAGCTTGACATGGTATCCCAAGAACCCAGTATAGCACAAGAAACATATTGACTGAATAATACAGGGAGGAAGCCTGGGTGTTTTCGTATCTCATTTAATCAGCAAAACAACTTATTCTCAGCTTTAGACATATGAAATTTGGGATCCAGAGAGATCTAGTAACTTGACTCTTATACTACAAAGTTGTGACCACTGATTTTATGCCAAGGTAAAATGATTCCAAAGCCCAGTTTTTCCAGGGAAACACTGGCTCTTTATAGTAAATAGAAAAACTATCAGGAAAGTCAAAAAATGTTTGAAAGAAAGGAAAATTAGCAGGAAGAAACAAAGTAGTGGGATACTTTACTATTGTGTCTAAGTCTGTGGTATTCAGAACACATCTGTGTGTGTCATTTGAGCTACTGTCCTGGTGATCAAGATTTTCCAAAACTATCCCGGTTTCAAATATTTTTTCTTATTTTCCTGACAAGCCATTTGGGTATCTTAAGTTGGTTTGGTAGAAAGTGTTCAGTCAGGTTTATCTGCAGTGGAAATTCTGTTGTGAGAAGAAGCTTGGCAGGTTCAAAAGAAACTGGTTTTTCTAGAGTACAGGGGTAGGAACAGTAGAGTACAGTGGTGGGAGCTGAGCCTGGAGACAGCAGGTCTAGTGACTATGGTGGGCTGTATTAAGAATGTGGTCTTATTCCTAAGTGTTGGAAAGTGAGTGAAGGGAGTTTTGCAGCAGGAGTGGCAGTGGGGTTGACACGATCTGATTTATTTCTTTGCTGCAGAATATTGGATGTATTAGAAGGAGGCAGAAGTGAATGCAAGAATAGTTAATGTCAGGGAAATTGAACAGTGTATTCAGTAAAGTCAGTTCATGTGCAAGAAAATGATTGTGAACTAGGGTGGTGCTGGGATAAGAGTGAATGGGATCTATTTGAAAAATATTTAGAAGGTGGAATTGTGTGATGATGGATTAGATTATCAACTAGGAGGACAACGAGAGAGGCTTGACAGATTTCTGGATGTAGATTTAAATGCATAGGGTAGACTTTTAATGAAAGAGGACAGATGAAAAGAACTAAGTTCCAGTCTGGACATGACACATGAGGGTTTTGATATGGCTGAGTAGAGGTTTCAGTATGCAGTTGGATATGGATCTGGGGCTCAAACAGGAGGTCAAGGAGAGAGGTCAAAGTGTGCAGAACATTAGTCACTGTTTGCTGTGAAGCAGACAACCTCAAAACTGTAATGGCTTATAATTAAATATATTTATTTTTCATTGAGGGGTTTATAAGGAGGCTGTATCTGTGCTGCACTCTGCCAGGATTGGGTGGCCTTCACTTCTTGCTGCTATTTGAGTTTAGGCCTGCTGCACATTTCTTCACTTTTTTTTGTTTTGGATCAGCAGCTACCCAAGGCATATTCCTTCTCAGAGGAGTGTGAAGGAACAATTTTTTACAGCTCTGCTTGTGTCATGTCCTCTGACATTGCATTTTCCAAACAAAATCAAGGTCAGTCAAGGAGAAGCAATGTCCATGGTAAAGTATAAAGAATTGGGATTAATAATAGAACAATCTACCAGAGTACGACTTGGATGTGAGACATTTAATGCTTGGGTAAAGGGGATGTTTGCAAGCTAAAAAAGAATTCACAATAAAGCAGTGAGTATGGTGTCACTGAAGCCAAGTTTACTTAGAGAGGTAGTAAGGTCAGCTGTGTTGCATCTTCCAGAGAGTAGGATAAGAACTGAAACATGGCAATCAGATTTATTAGACACTGATAACTGTGGTTTAGAGATACTTGATTTAGAGATGGAAGTCAGATTAAAATGGGTTATATATTAGGTAGTTGTGAACCTTTGTTTTATGGTAGCAAAGGAAAAGTAAACAAAAATATAACAAAGAAAAACAACCACAGAAAAATGGAACCCCTCAAAAGAGCATAGATACACCATTGCAGTCAACATAAATGGGTTAGCTCATAGAAGTCAACAGAAAACCAATGTTTATTGAATTTCTAAATAAATATTAACATGTTTATTTTTACTTTTATTCATTATAACATTCCTATAAATAGAATGTAGCACTATGTGTGTTTGCCTAGGTGAGAATTCTGATGGTCTACAAAGTTAAGTAATTTTCCATAGTTCTGATGATACAGTAGAAAAATTGTGCCCAGGACTCCAGAGTCCTGAATTCTTGGCCAGCTGCTGGTCCTGACATTGGTGCTCAAAGGAACAAATATTCACTCTTGAGTAAAAAGAGCAAATTTTCACTCTTGGGTAAAATGCACATGTATTTTCCTAATGAAGTATTGATTCTAGTTGAATCTTCCTGTGAGCTGAAATCAGTCGTGTGTGAATCACAGGGGCTGGATTTGTTTCTTTGTCCTAAGACCTGTATAAATCCATGACTTTCTACTTCCATTCCTGTAAGCACACTCTACTCTCCACCCTCCAAATCAGTACTTCTTAAGCTAATGCTAGTGAAAGATAATTTTCCCTCCATACTAAATTGTATACTGATACATTTCTAAAGTATAATATAAAACAAATCTTAGAAACATTATTACAAAAATACTTGCAAAACTCCATTTTTATTGGCTATTATTTACCTTCAACAGACATACATTTGTTCCTTTAAATTGCTATACAAGTTTTCATTTTTAAATTCCCCCTTTCACAGATCAGTAGCAAGCAGTGTGCTGACCTACAGGGGAACACACCTTGAGTAATACTGCACTGTTACCCTTCTAGGTAAAACAGTTTAAAGGATAGGGTTGTGTTTTCTAATGTGTACCTTATAAAAAGACTGGTCTAAATTGTCTGGCCTGAGGCCTTGTACCACCCAGATCTTAGCCAAACTGAGTGTTTTGGTAGGTTTCATGTTCATTATCAGTTTCACCTCCCTGAAGAGAAAAATCCAAAAGGAGGCAAGAGTGAATCATACTTAAAAGAGAACCTGAAATCCCACATTCTAATTTAGCGGACATATGCAAAGTTTTAGAGGCTTGTAAACTCTTTTTCAGTACCATCAATTACGCCACCAGCTTTCGCCAAGGCTTGATCTCTGTCAGGTGCAGATGTGGCTGCTTCCAAAATCCATGCCATTTCCATTGCTCATGACATTCACATTAAAGGATGTAGTACAAACATAGTGTGAGTGAATACAGTAATAGAGCCTTTTTTAAAATATATATCTGTATTTCAAAGTAGGGGGTAAAGCCATTGTCCTGTCTCCCTTGAGATAGTGTCTGTTTTCTACATATCTTTCCATGTGTCACTTTGCGTCATAATCCATCCAGTTTCATTTCCAGATTCTACTCTTAGGACCACAGACCATCACTGCACACCTTCAGTGCTACAGTCTCCTTGAGTAACTCTTCTTAGTGGCTTTCGGCATGCCATTGTTCTGTTTCATTTTTCTGTCCTAGCAAGTGTTATCTGGGCCTTGTTTATGTATTTTTTTCTCCATCTAATCAAATCTGGCTTTACATATCATTCCTTGTTTTACTTGATGTGGTCTGTAATCATCATTTTGTCTTGCTCTCACCACCTCTCTCAAGTTCCTTCTCCTCCTCACGCATGTTATGCTTTTAAAAAACTTACTTTTGACTCTTTTCTTCAAAGACAATCTTTAATACTTTACTTATCTTACTGGTTTATTACCAAGAATTCTCCTGCCTGGGCAGTTTTCGGGGTTTACGGATGTAATAAATCAAATTATATGTCCGCATAAAGGATATGCAGATGACACCAGGTTGCTTAAGTGAGGAATTAGGTAAGTCTCCAACTATATATCCTGAAGAGTTACAGCAGGAAGAAAGAAAAGCTTAGGGGCTGTGAGCCTTTTTACAAAGTTTGTGTTAATGCAGGCTTCTTAAACCTCTTGCTGAGTGTGGTGGTGTGTTTTCAAACAGGTGCTCCTGACCTAAGGTCTCAGAGGATTTAAGTGTGCATCGTTCTAGTTTGCTCACACATTTTATCTTCCATACCTAATATCATCATAAACCATCCAGGTTTTTGTCCCCCCACTGTTGCTCAGATCATTTAAACATTGATCTATATAATTACTTTTTTTTTTTTTAGTGGAAGATGTTGATTTCAAACCATTGCACCTAAGAGAATGGTGGGTTCTTCATTAGAACTTCTCATTCAGCTGTAAGAGGCTGTGATTTTAAATTCGCATATGGAGGTTTTTATAAGGAATAACTCTCCTTTTGTATCTCTCATTAATCATCAGTGAGAATATTAGATGGCCAGTTTGTTGTTGGAGTTAATAGAAAGTGGTAGTGCAGAGCACTTTAAAATTATTCTGAGAGAACCACTGAAGATTTTGGATCGGAGACAAAAAAATGTAAGGTTTCTCAGGCTGTTCTGTATGGAATGGGTTAGAGCTGGGAGAGGAGACAGGGAGTCCTGCTGGAAGGCTCTCAGAGCCATCGAGGTGAGATACGGTGACGGTCTGCCTTGGGCGAAATTATATTAGTGCTGGTTGAATATAAAAACTGAGACAATTTCAAAAAATCTTGTACTGCATAGAAAAAAAAAACCAACACAATGCTAAATCATTTGATAAGGGTGCCAGAGAAGGATTTCTGATAGTTACGTGATGTTGAGGATAAAATAAAAAGGGCATTTCTCACATTGGTACTTTGTCATTAATGTTGGAACTTCACCATCTCCGAATATGTGACCCCTCAAAAGGAAAGCCAGGGAAGGGGAAAGTAGACCCATATATATTTCACACTCTATTCTCTCCACTGCTATGGGAAGCCATCCATCCAAGATGATAGGGGGGAAAAAAGGTAGGATTCTATTACTTTGTTAATAACTGCTACTTAGCATTCTTCTTTGCTTACTTCACAGTTAGTAGAAAACACTTAAGTAGCTTATGATGTCTGTCCCTACTCCTGGAAGTTGAATGACTTCTCTTTTCCAGGATTTGTGGCCTTTGTAGGCTAAGAGTAAATGTACCCTTGCATACTCAGCACCCAACTCTGCTTGGGTCATAGTATGCTTGATAAATGTAAAACATACCACTGTTAATGGAGCTATGAGCAGCTTTCAGCTGTTTTAGTTAATAGACTAAAAATCTGCACCATTTAAATGGTAATTCTAAAAGTTATGTGTATATTTGCATTTACCTGTGACAAAAACGGAAAACTGACACTGTTCCCTTGAGTGAGAGAGAAGATATTTTAGAAGACAAGATCTTCTCAAGAACATGTTTGCAGATGACCTAAAATCAGTTAACTTTTAGAAATCAATTCTGACTGAAATGTAAAAGAAATTCAAAATAAATTTGAGTTGTTTTAGGAAAACTGTTAATCTTTCCAGCCAGATGTAATTGAGCGGATACCCATCATATAAATATAATGCTTTCAAATTTCCTATCACTTGATTGAACAGAGCAGATAAACTCTTTTTAACTAATACTTTAAAACATTATTTTACAGTTAAACGAGTCTTTATAAAGATCTAAACTGTGTCTCTCCTCAACTGTGGTGGCTGTATGAACAGCCTTGGGGTTTGCAATGAAGAAACATAAGATCTTAGTGGAAGAATAGAATTAAAGGGACCAAAGTTTGGGTAAACCTTGCAAACACTATACTCATGTTAAGTAAAGATGCTATCAGTTCAGTTTTAGATATCTTATAAAATTGATTTCTAACCATTCTATGACAATGAATGAATTGGGTTCCAGAAGGCTATATTATAAATCTATTTTGACCATAATAAGAGAAATAAATTTTTGACCGTAATAAATGCATCGATGCACTTTCTGATGCCTATCTACCTAAAAAGAGTCCCACTTGGTCCCTTGAAGCTTTAAAACAGGTAGACACCTTTCTTACAAGTGTACGTTCACCTGGGCACACTGAAAATCTCTTGAGGTAGTTAAATGACTGATGATTTTTCTAGATGTTCCTTCCACACAGTCCTTTTCTTTTGGAATATTTGGAAAACTTAAAGAGCCTGGAACATGTATAGTCATCCAAGAATTGTAACAAAGTTGTTTCTGTTTTGTTTTTCTTTTTTTTTTTTTCATATTCTTTATATTCTTTTTCTTCCTCCCTGAATCCTCTTCAAGAAAAACAAGACTTGTATTATCACTGCTTTGACATCATGCAGTCTTTAAATTCTCAACTGCTTTGCTTTTTCATAAATTAACGTTTTGTCAAGAGGCATTTAGCCCTGATAACTGAATACCTTGTATACTCAACTACTGTTTCATTTTGCTATCACTTTTCTTTGTCTATAACACAGGGACAGCATTTTTGAAATGTTACATCAACCATCTTTTATTTCATTCATAATCATTACTATCGTTCCATGATTCATCCTATGTTCATGTTTATATCTCACTATTTTCAATTTTGTTTAAAATTATTTCTACTTTTATTTCCTTCTTGATTCTTCATCTCATCTTTTTATCACTTAGAACACTCTGGGAACAAGGGTAACAATCTGTATATAAAACTGAGCTTTTAAACATGGCAACCAGGCAGCAGAATGTTCACACAGGCCAGTGTAAGAGTGAATTGTGACAGCCTGTAGCCATTTCTTAGAGGTGGGCAAAAATGCTTAGCTTTGACTCCAGAACATAGCTTTGTTTCCGTGTGTGCATGCTTGAGGGTTGAAAGTTTTGAAGTAGTTCTTGAACTTCTGTAATTGTACTGCTAGTTTCCAGTTGAAGTTCCTGGCTAGAGAGCAATGTCAGTGAGAAGAATATAAATTCATTTGCATTGTGGCAGCCGATAGGCCATTGATATGGGTATCTCACCTCGTTTTTTATCTTCCAACTAAATATTTGATTCCTCTCTGAATTTATGACTTATGGGGCATGGATTATTTTCTCAGGCTGCCCTTCCCTCTTCCCTCTTTATGTTTTTAGCTCCTCTCTCTTTGCAGACACGGGAGTGTGTATTTTTATAGCTTGAATTTACTCTCTCTGATGTTTCTTTGCATTTCCTAGGACATTGTAGCAGTAACTTGACAGTAGCTTTACCAGCTTTTTCTATGCTTTTTTTTTAATTCTTAAAAGTTGCCTAGAAATACATTTCTATTTACTAATATTTTGAGTAAGAAGAACCCATGATAAGGAGAAATTACTCTTTAGATTTAATCTAGGTATTGACTTCTCTAGCCCCTGTGCCTTCCTGATTTCATAAAATTAGGATGACTGTAATTTCTGATAATTTTTGAATTTTGATTTTGATGAGAAATATAAGTTATACATATGTAGTCTAAATGTGAAGGAAAGGAATAGAAAAGTCACAGGTATGACTTGTACATATTGTTTAAAGTAAATTCCTAAGGAACAGATATTTTAATTATTCCCTTCAGTGTTTACATGTTTTATGTTTCTATAGCAGTTTCAGTAAATTGGTTGAAAAGGCCCGAAGAGTTCAAGGCATGGGCTGTTCAAAGACTGTCTTTCTTCCACAACAATATTCGAGCTTTTTGACCTTGGTCTAAGAGAGAGATTTATCATTGGTCCTTTTTAGCCGTTCATTAGTATGTTTGAATTTTGTTGTGCTGGCTCTTATAAAGTAAAGTATTTTGGATCACTTGAGGCTTATAAGACAAGTAAACAATTCTGAGGGTGTTGATAATAACTGAAGGGCTCACATATAGCACAATGCTACTACCACTAAGACAGAGTAGATAAACCCACAAATCATGGCTAATACCATTCTCAGAGCTTTCTTCCCATGACCTTTCAGGATTACATTGCCATATCTGTCTTAGATGCTGAACATGTGTGACGAAAGGATGGACATATAGTTTAGTACTTTATTTCTTCAGACACTCCGTGCTGGTTTATGACTTATATTGGGAGTCTGCTGGCATTCATCACCCAAACTTGTGAAGATATTATGTCTGTTTACAGACAGTTCTATGTATAACAGATTTGTTTTTTTATTTTAGCCCTAAAGGGTATAGCGGAAAGCACATGGTGAAGTGAGAGGCCCTTGATTCAAGGCCCAGTTCTGTAACTGTTTGTCTTTTGACCTTGTATTAGTTTACTACCCTTTTATAAGTTTAATTTCCTCATCTGTAAAATAGGAATAATAGTACTTTATTCTTCTTTTTGTTGAGAGGATTAAATGACACAGAATAAGTGAAAGTTATTTTTAATCTAGAAAACAATATAGAATTTAAAATTTTCTTTCCTCTCCACTGTCTTATCAAGAACCCTCTTTCTGTTGCCTGTCTTTACCCCACCTCCAAATGAAGCCCATACTTCTTACAACAAAACTTAATTTATTCATATGACAGGACATCCCAGAATCAGAGGTTCTAAATGGCAGAATCTCAGTTATGCTACGCTTGATCCATACTCCTGCCTGTCTTTAGTTTTTGTGCTTTGATAAGAAATAAATATACTTCACTATCTCAGAGCAAGTAGAACGGGATAACCAGTCACCTGCCTGGATTCCAACTGTTGCCCTCCTCACTAACTCTAAGACCTTTGGAAGTTACTGAAGCCCTCTGAGCCTCAGTTTCCTCATACAGAAAGCAACAGTAGTGCTACCTTCCTCACAGGGTTTGTCTGGATTTGTCTGGAAGAGTAGTATCCGTGAAGGGCCAAAATAAGTGTTCAGTAATTTATATCTATGTGGTTCATAGTAATTAATGTTATATGTTATATGGGAATGTTGGCTTCTTTCTCACAAGTTACTTGACAAAAGAGATATTACAAAATGTTTTTATGATTATCAAATCCACTTTTATAAAATGAAGTTTTTGGATTCTCTTAACAGATTATTGACGTTCTCCTTGTTGCAATAAAATAAATAACAGACATCACTTACTTCGTTTTCCCTTAGACACACACACACACACACACACCCCGACTCCCACACTCGCTGTGTTTCTCACTTTGCCTGTTTGGTCTTCAGCACAGACGGATATTGTTTCACGATGATAGAAGAGGATGACTCTGGGATGCCTGTGGTCACTTCTGGATGCCTAGGACTAGAAGGCTCAGATTTTCAGTGTCGGGTAAGAAAGAAAACTTGATTCTGTAACCTTTCATTGGCTAGATTTCCAAGCAAGATAAAACCATTCTTTTTCTTGGCCAATCCATTTTTAGTATAGTCATGTGCTGTACAAAAACAGTTAGGTCAGCAATAGATGGCAGGTATGATGACAGTGGATGGTGGTCCCATAATATAGCACCATATTTTGGCTGTCTCTTTTTTATGTTTAGGTACACAAATGGTTACTATTATGCCTTACCTGCCTATAGTATTAAGTTCAGTGACATGCTGTACAGATTTTTACCCTAGGAGTAATAGACTTTATCTTAGAGCATAGGTGTGTAGTAGGCTGAACCATCTGGGTTTATGCATGTGCACTCTATGATGATCTCAGTGACAAAATCACCCCATAACACGTTTCCTACAACATATCCCTGTCTTTAAGTGACACGTGATTGTAATTTAGAAAACTGAAATTTTCCATTGGACAATTCTTCCTTCATTTTGAAATCAAATATTATTTTTATTTTTGCTGTTAACTTCTTGCTTAGTGTCCCTTTAGAGAATCTTCATCAAAATCCAATTTAGCTTGTTGCATGAATCCAAGCCACCTTCTTCAGTTTATCCAGTTTTATTAGAAATGTAGTAGTAATTTTGTTGAAATGCAAAAGTTGCGATAAGATAATACATGATAACTTGAAATAAATTACCTATAGAAGAGAACATAAAAGGTATTTGAGTAAAATTATTAGAATTTTAAATTAGTTTTCTAAATAGTTTTAGATGATGTGACTTTGAAATTCAGAAAAAACTCGCTAATAGCTGTTTGGGTTCAATTATAGGACACTCCTATTCCTCATCAAAGAAGATCAATTGAATGTTGCACAGAAAGGAACGAATGTAATAAAGACCTGCACCCTACACTGCCTCCGTTGAAAAACAGAGGTAAGGGAGGAAGGCTTCCAGGCTGGAAAATCATTAGCTATAATGAAAATAACTAAAAACTAGAATCATTCTCTCCCAGTCTACCTATACCATTTTCTACTGTTAGAGCAGAGCACTGAAATCAGATGACAGAGAACCATCATTCAAAGATACGTGCAAGTACTTAGTGGGAAAACAGTCATATGTGATTTCACTTTCATGATTTTTTCCCACTTCTGTTCAGAAAATTGCTATTCCTAGGGTTTGAAGTGTATTTCAGGGTGGAGGTAGGAGATAGTGCTCTGTGCTTCTCCCTGAAAGTTATTCAGAAGTTGCAGTTCGCCTCAAAACTACCATTTGGGTACATTTATTTTAAAAATGAAGAACATATAAAGGACTAAATTAAAAATTATTTGCTATATGGCATTTCCTTTTGTTTCTGCTAGAGTTACACTTTTTAGTCAAAGCACATCACCGCATTGATAAAATGGGGAAGATGCCTAAAAGTTTAGTTTCAAAACTTACCCATTTAAGTGTTGTTCCTTTAAAATGACAAACATTGCATCCCAAGAGACCTTTCATTTGCAATAGCTCTCATATTCCCTTTCTCCTCCTCTGTGCTCTTAACACACACACACACACACACACACACACACACACACACACACACACTTTTTTGTGTGTGGTTGTTGCAGAGTTTTAAGTCTGAATCTTAGTGATTTCAAGTGATTTTTCGTGATTGATTTTATTTCTTGAGAAAAACTTTTCAACAAAATATAATGGAATTTCATGACTTTGTCTTCTCTCTCTCTCTGTCTCTATCTCTCTTCTCTCGTGACAGAACAAGACCCTGTCTCCAAATATATGTGTGTATATATACATTACATATATATATTACATATATATTACATATATATTATATATATTACATATATATATTACATATATATTATATATATTACATATATATTACATATATATATTATATATATATTTTCGGAGACAGGGTGGGTGACAGAGCAAGATGTAAATGTAAAATGTAAAATACATTTTACATTTTTATATATTTTTTGGAGACAGGTTCTTGCTCTGTCACCCAGGCTGGAGTGCAGTGGTGTGATTATAGTTCATTGCAACCTCTACCTCCTGGGCTCAGGCAGTCCTCCCACCTCAGCTTCCCCAGTAACTAGGAAAACAGGTGTGCACCACCACACCCAACTAGAATTTTGCGACTTTGATAACATTTTATAAGATTTGTTCCTACTCTAGCCTAGAAAGCTATACAAGATTGGTTAATAATAATTCACATCAAAGTTTCACAGGCATTTTTTTTTAAGTTTGACAGGCAACATGCTAGGTGTTAGGAATACAGAAATGAATTAAGAAAATTATTCCTCCCAAGAAGTTTACATTAGAATGTAAGATAGAATCATGTCAATAACTATATTTGTTGAGGAATATCTCAGTAGTAGAGTTAGGTTATAAAGTGTATTAAGGACATAAAAGAGTGAGTGCTGGCTCTGCCTGGGGGAGGAGGTTGTCAGACAGCTTCCTAGAAGTGATACCTGGACAAGACTTGAAGGGTGAACAAGAGTGTGCTAAGTGGATAAGGCAGGATAGGCTAAGTATATAAAAAATTTGAAATTTACATGGCTAACATTAGCCAAACATTCTGCCAAGAATTACATTAATTAATCTATTTTAGCCTTATAGCAGCCCTGCGAGGTACATAGGATTGTTCTTCCCACTTTAAACATAAGGAAAACACAGCATAGGAGAGGTTTATTAACTTTGAGTTTGCATAACCTATAAGTAACAGTGATACGAAACAGATGCAGTAGTAAGTGCAGAGGTGGTTTGAAATATTTGAGAAGCATTTGCAAAATACAGGAGTATGAAACAGCATGACTGGTTAGAGAAAATCTCATAATTAAGAGAGATGGGGGCTGAGCACAGTGGTTCACACTTGTAATCTCAGCACTTTGGAAGACTGAGGTGGGAGGACCAGCCTGGGCAACATAGCAAGACTCCATCTCTACAAAAAAAATTGTTTTAATGATCTGGGTGTGGTGATATACATCTGTAGCAGTAGCTACTGGGGAGGTTAAGGTGGGAGGGTCACTTGAGCCTGGAAGTTCGAGGTTACATTGAGGTACAGTCATGCCACTGCAGTCCAACCTGGGTGACACAATTGGACACACTCTAAAAAAACATATTTTAAATAAATAAGAAAAGAGAGATGGGGCCAGATTCCAGTTGGGAGTATGAAGGTGAGGGAGCATTATCTGAGGAGGATGTAGGGATTTAGAAAAATAGTAGAAGAAAACTCCAAAGGACATAGTGAAAAGACTTAGAAAAGGAGGGTAGGACCTATGAGAGACAAGTTCTTGGTCCAGGGCAGTGTGGACGTGAGGATGCAGGAGTGGCTGGTGGACTCTGTTGAGCATTGTGTAAAGTGGCTGGCTTTGGTGGAGTTTAGCAGCATTAGAATGCACTGCTTTGAGCCCTGAGGATCTTAGATTCCACTGCTTTGCCCGTGCCTCGGCAAGGTCTCTGCAGACTCTACTCAGGCAGTTCTTGGTTGCAAAGTCTCTGCAGATTCTTATCTTTCTGGCCCAGTTGTTTTGGGGTCAAGTAACTGTCACTGCAGATTATAGGCCAAGAGCACTGATGTTTTTACATAGCTGTATGCTGCTTGTTTTTTTTTTTTTTTTTGTCCCCACCATATACACATACACAGTTTTATTGAAATTGTACTAGATATTTTGCTTTCTAGCTATATGATTTTTTTTCTTCTATTTCTTACTGCATTTGTGAACCATCTTCTAGTCTCATAAAAACAGTCCTGACACTTTAAGCAGTTACAAAACTAGTTATCAGAGAGGAGACAGTAGTGACATAATGCAGTTTTGGTATGAAACCACTGGTGATTCTGAACTTGACTCTCAGAGTGAACGAGACTTCCCCTGGGAGTTCTCAGTTCTACTTCCCAGAGCAGCTGGAGTGACAGCACAGGTAGAAATCTGCTGTCCTGGAGAGAGCTGACAGCTGTGGGCTCTGCTCTTTTCCTGCTCTTATCTGGAGCTGTTCACTTTCTGAGACTCTGGCTGTGGCTTGAATGTTTACATTGTTAGTGCTCTGAGCACAGGTAATGGCAGATTAAAACATGACCAGTGTGACCAGCAGAAACAAAAGCTTTATTGATAAGGATCACCTATTCATGTGAGAAGACAAGGAGGCTGCTGCGGATAGGGTTATGGGGCAAATAAAAGGAAAATGGGAAGGTAATCCTAGCCTTAAATAAAGTGCTTGATAGTAAGGAAAGAATCCCTTGATCCTTCTGGTCTCGTTGTTCTCATAAATCAGAAATATAGTAAGATAAGTAATAAACAGTGTTCTAGCAGCTCAGGGTGTCTCCTGTGTCTTGCATTTACATGGAAAGTAAAAGGCAGTGAAGCTTAGAGTTTTAGTAAAATTGTATCATGGGAATGGAAAAGTGTTCTGTGTTGATATACTGGTAATACATTGTGATTATGTGGATAGTTCTAGTTTGGTTGAGTATCTAGCATTCTCCTAAAATCTAAAATTTTTGCAAAACCAGGCTTTTGTTATCTTTAAATTGGAAATGCATGTAAGCTAAGTTTCCAGTGGCAGTCTTAACGTATTTGTGTGCTATGGTGTTTGGATGCCTCTATCTGTATAAAAATATTGTCAGTTGTGCTTTCACTGGCTGTGGTATTGTGACATCTTGGATTTATTTTTAATTCTTTATATAACCTGAGAGAGAGGGGAATGGAGGAAGAAATTTATTAAGGCAATTTATTGTGTTAAATTTTAGCCTGCATAACATTAAGAGGTACAGATTATTTTCAAGATTTACTAAGCAGCATGTTTTAGACAACGAATACTCAAATTATATGTAATTCCTGTTTGTTCTAAGGCCTGAATGGCTTTTTACATATGTGCTGTAATATGTCATGTTCCTGAACTCCTTTTACCTAGATTATTGGGAACATTTCTTCATTTATTAATATGAAAACTGCTGGTTTTAGTGGCCTCCCATTTAGAGTTTTCAGATGCAGACTACTTTAATTAATATTTGCAACTATTATAAATCATAAATAGCTGTTAAACATATATATTTTAGACCGATGAGTAAATCAACATTGATCATCATGAGGTTTGGTCAAGAAATTTGTAGTGGATTTTAGTTTTTAATAGATAATCCCAAGTTTTTCTGAAATATTTCAAAGATTTCTTTTTTCTTTTTAAATTTCAGCTTTTATTTTTAGATACATGGGGTACAGGTGAAGACTGTTACATGGGTATACTGGACCCAGGTAGTGAGTATAGTACCCAATAGGTAGTTTTTCAACCCGTCTCTCCCCAGCCCCATTAGTCCACAGTGTCTGTTATTTCCATGTTTATGTCCTTGTGTGCTCAGTGTTTAGCTCCCACCTGTAAGTGAGAACATGCAGCATTTAGCTTTCTGTTCCTGCATTAATTCACTTAGGACTATGGCCTCCAGCTCCATCCATGTTGCTGCAAAGGATGTCATTTTATTCCTTTTTATGGCGCATAGTATTTCATGGTGTATATGTACCACATTTTCTTTATCCTGCACACCATTGATGAGCAGCTAGGTTGATTCTGTGTCTTTGTTATTGTGAATAGTATAGCAGTGAACATACAAATGCATGTCTCTTTTTGGCATAATGATCTATATTCCTTTGGGTATATACACAGCAACACTCCTATTCAACATAGCACTGGAAGTCCTAGTCAGAGCAATCAGACCAAAGAAAGAAAGGAACGGCATCCTTAGGAAAAGAAGTTAAACTATTTTCACTCATGTTATGATTCTGTACTTAGAAAAACCTAAAGACTTCACCAAAAGGCTACTAGAACTGATAAACAAGTTCAGCAAGGTTTAAGGATATAAAATGAATATACAAAAATCAGTCAGTAATGTTTCTTTTTCTTTTCTTTTCTTTTTTTTCTTTTTTTTTTTTTTTTTTTTTTTTTGAGGTAGAGTCTCGCTGAATTGCCCAGGCTGGAGTGCAGTGGTGTGATTTCTGCTTACTGCAACCTCCACCTTCGGCATTGAAGCGATTCTTCTGCCTCAGCCTCCTGAGTAGCTGGGATAACAGGCACGTACCATTGATACTTGGCTAATTTTTGCATTTTTGTAGAGATGGGATTTTGCCACATTGGCCAGGCTGGTCTCAAACTTCTGACCTCAGGTGATTCGCACCATGGCCTCTCAAAGAGGCCTGCTGGGATTATAGGTGTGAGCCACCGTGCCTGGCTAGTCAGTAGCATTTCTATACACCAATAACATCCAGGCTTCGAGTCACATCAAGAACACACTCCCATTTACAGTAGTCTCAAAGAAAATGAAATACACAGGAATACAGCTAACCAAGAAGGTAAAAGACCTCTGCAAGGAGAACTACAAAACGCTGCTGAAAAAAATCAGAGACAACCCAAATGGAAAAACATCCTATGCTCATGGATTGGAAGATTTATTTTCAGTTTATGTGTTTATGCTAATCTCCTGGCTATTTTGATCCAGGCATGCAACGTGAAATAAGCATATCATGGGGAATGGAGTATCCATCTCCTCAAGCATTAATCATCTGAGTACATTACTGTTCAGTAAGATAGTGTGTTCTTAGGAAGTACACTCTGAAATATTTATAAGTGGATAGTGGCATTATGTCTACAACTTTAAATGATCCAGAAATAATACAGACATACAAATAAAAATTTGAATTCAAATGTATATATGCATATTATATATAAATATTGAGAGAGAGAGAGGCATGGAGAAAGCAAGAGAATTATTTAAACAATGGTAAAATGTTAACAATCAGAAATCTAGGTGAAGGGCACATTGGAATTCTTTTTTCTTAGAATGGTTTTTCTGTAAGGCTGAAATTATTTCAAAATAATTAAAATTTATGTTCACATTGATGGTAAAATAGAAATTAATGTAACCTTCTAAAAAGAATACTTGGCAATATGTATGAAAAGACTTACAATATATGTCCTTTAAACTAATAGATCTTCTGGGAATCTCATTGAGGAAATAATCATTGGCATGTGCAAAGATGCATGTGTAAGAATGTTTATTACAGAATTTTATATATCATAACAAAGAAGCATTATGGCAAAATCTTTAGAATCTCCTAAATGTATGACAGTAGGAGAGTCACTTTCTAATTAGGATGATTTTATGTATAATACAATTTTAAAAGTTGTAGCAGGGCACAGTGGCTTACAACTGTAATTCCAGCGTTTTGGGAAGCCGAGGGTCACTTGAGGCCAGAAATTCAACATCAGCCTGGCCAATTTGGCAAAACCCCATCTCTACTAATGATACAAAAATAAGTGGAGTATGGTTGCTCACACCTGTAATTTCAGCTACTCAGGAGGCTGAGGTACAGAATCGCTTGAACCCAGAAGCTAGAGGTTGCAATGAGCTGAGATTGTGCCACTGCACTCCAACCTGGGCCACAGAGCAAGACTCTTATCAAAAAATGTATATATATGTGTATATATATTAAAGTGTTGTTACAATAATAATTTCAGAATAGCTAGGAGGACATTAAATGTTCCTAACACAAAGAAATGACAAGTGTTTGAGATGATAAATATGCTATCTGATCACTATTCATTATATATGTATTAAAATACTTTATGTGTCAATAGAAAAATATAAAAAGCATGTTGCAGAGAAAGTATTTGTTTTTCTGGAAAATGTTCACAGTATTATGAATGAAAACCTAGTTCTAAATCAGTATGTATTATATTTTGCTCATGAACATTTTTGTTGAAATGATACTGTTAGCAGTAATTTTTTTCTGAGCAGTGAGAAGTAGTGATTTTGTTTATTTTATTTTGGTTAGTTGATCCTTTTCAATTTTTCTTCATGGAATATGTAGTAATTCTGAATAAAACAGAGTTTCATTGGGTGGAGTCAGGTTCCCAGCCAAAATATTTAGGTGTCCATCTAGTTAAAGGTGTATAGTACAGTTGGAAAACCTCTTGTCCACAGCATCTAAAGTCATAAATTACAATACTACCTTTTAAAATTAAACAACAGTCATCATCACTGTCTCAAAGGTATATAGTGCCTTTAATAAGAATGATGCTAATACTATTACTGTATAAGTATACCTGGTTTTAAGTCAGTTTCCTGAATATATGTACCAGAGATCACCTGTGTACAATTTACCTGGGATGATTATTAAAAATAAAGTATTTTGCATGAAAATCTTCGGGGTTAAAGTCAGTGAATATGCATTGTATAAAGCTAAGTCATTCTTATTTTTATAAACTTTGAGGAATCTTATTTGTCAGGAGCTAGAGTCAAAACAAAATGAGTAGTGTTTCATAATCTGTTGTATAAAAGTATCATACATTCTTTGGATGGAACATATTACATTCTTTTAAAATATTCAATTTAAGGAAAAGTATGGATTTTGAAGGACATCTTTGTTTAAAACAATGCACAGCTATATATTCTCTATTTGGAAACATTTGAGGGGTCCACTTCTTTTTATCCATTATAAGATGACTTTTATGTACAATGAGTTATGTTTTTTGTCCCATGAATTACAGATACTTTTTAATTCAAGTTCATGGTATCGAGTACTTCAGAAACCACATGAGAAGAGCCTGTGAACTCATGAGCTGGGTCTGTAATAAAGATGAGCTACCTGTTTATATTGTGGGTGCACAGATCCACTTACCTTTATTCATGTTCTTTCTGTAGTTTTATCCTGTGTTGAGCCTGTTTCTTCTGAAATGAAGAAATGTGTGCTATTGATTAAGTGCCTAGATGAAGAATGATTCACACTAGTCAAACCTATTTAATTTTTAGTATAGAAGGGTTTTTTTTTGATTAATGGGTATATGAAAAGGATCTTTCACATCTTGTGTGAGATACTTAGTAAATACCTTTAGGAAGGAGTCGCTTTCTTATTTTCAAGTCAAAAATTCTCTAGATTATGGTTCTTTTTCTTTTTAATTTCAGATTTTGTTGCTGGACCTATACACCACAAGGCTTTACTTATATCTGTGACTGTCTGTAGTTTGCTCTTGGTCCTCATCATTTTATTCTGTTACTTCCGGTAAGTTCCTAACATGTAGATGCAAAATTTTTCATTTATATTATCTTCCTTATACTGATACCCTACTTTTGCCTGTGTTTGTCACCACAGCTTTTAAAAATCCTAATTAGATCTTATATTTAACTGAAAATATTTGTTATTTTTGATCAATGTTTGTCCTAATGAAGTTACAAATAGATACCTATCTCATTTCTGCTTCAGAGTTCAAAACTACCTAGGTAAGTATTTCATCCCTAGGAAAACTAAGGTAGTTAGAGAATTCAGAGACTGGTTATTATTTAGGCTTGAGTCTAAGCAGAGAAATAGCCATGTTGAATTTCAGATTTGCTCAAATTCCTTATTTTTTGAGCAATAAAATTTCTTAGTATTAAAAGATTTTAAACATCATTTATAGATTAATCATTAAAATAAGTTCATTTGTTAAAGTTAAGTTTGATAGTTCCCAATTACTTTTAATGGCCTATGAATTTATTTTCTAGATTGTGAAGTATTAAGGACCTTTACATTTATGTAATTTGCCTTTTTATTAATTCATTACTCATTTGAGATACTCTGCAAATGGTCAGCTTGATTCAAATAAATTCATTTCTAATTGAAAACTCGATTATTGACAAAGATTTTTAAGATTAAATTTATTTCTGTTATTTCTTCATATGTGACCTTATATGAGAGAGTTAGCTGTCATGTTTTTTGTAAACCAAAAATTTACATGTTTAATTAATTAGGGACCTTAGAAAAGATTTTAAGGAATGATAGTGGAGCTATTTAGAAACACTAATAGAATGTAGTTTGCTTGGATCTATGAAATTTGAAATAAATAAAAGAAGAAAAGTTGTAGATGGTTGAGACTGAGTAAAAACACATAGTTTGGCCGGGCGCGGTGGCTCAAGCCTGTAATCCCAGCACTTTGGGAGGCCGAGGCGGGTGGATCACGAGGTCGAGAGATCGAGACCATCCTGGTCAACATGGTGAAACCCCGTCTCTACTAAAAATACAAAAAATTAGCTGGGCATGGTGGCACATGCCTGTAATCCCAGCTCCTCAGGAGGCTGAGGCAGGAGAATTGCCTGAACCCAGGAGGCGGAGGTTGCGGTGAGCCGAGATCGCGCCATTGCACTCCAGCCTGGGTAACGAGAGCGAAACTCCGTCTCAAAAAAAAAAAAAAAACGCATAGTTTATTTAGCTTATTTTAAAAAATAGGTTAGCAAAACAATGAGTTTTACCTGGGAAACTATAAGAGTAAAAAATATGAAGCATTTAATGTGTTACATTTAGGTGCTAAAATAAAACTGCTGTGATTACTGTTTTAGTTGTAATATTTTACTCCATCATTGCATTTCATTATCTAAAATTATCTTCATCTATCCATCTTTAGGTATAAAAGACAAGAAACCAGACCTCGGTACAGCATTGGTTTAGAACAGGATGAAACTTACATTCCTCCTGGAGAATCCCTGAGAGACTTAATTGAGCAGTCTCAGAGCTCAGGAAGTGGATCAGGCCTCCCTCTGCTGGTATGAGAAGAACATATCTTGAATTTAAAGGAAATGTTTCTGAAAGAACTGTGTGTGAATAAATATGGGGTTTCACTTACTGAAATAGATAGGGCCCTGGACAAAGGAGAAAGCTCTGTGCAGTCTGTTGGACATCAGATCTCAGCGGCAGGGCTTCCTGATAACATTTTGACATATTGAGAGTGAGGTGATTGTTTTTTAATGTAGGTGTGTGGTTACAATCCAGACCCTCTGACATTCTGATAAAGAGCAGATTAGAAAACATTAAACATGGGACCATCTTCCCTCTGTTTTCCACAAGGATAGCATTACTGCACTTTGGCCTGGCTTTTGAAGGCTAAAATATTACATCCAACTGGGTTCTCAGTATTTCTACAAAGGAAGAAGGCTGCTTTTCAGCTGTGAGGTTTATGTTTCAGGGTAAAGTCCTCGCTTTTCCTTTCAGGACAAGTTTCATTTTCTGATGGTCAGCTCTGCCAATGTTAAAGAGAATATATGAGCAAATACAATTTGAAAATCAGTAGTATTACACTTTTTTTTTTTTCCTAAAAGAGAAGTACAAATACTAAAATCCCTTTTGGTGTTAATGAATTAGATGGTCTTAAAATTGAAACTGAGTTCTTCCACTGTTTCTTGCCTTCAAACTTATTTTCCCATTACTGTGTAATGGTTTTGGAGAGAGAACTTGTAATGTTACTTCCTGGGTAAAATATCCTAATACCCACTACTACTTGCAGGTCTTTCTCAGCTTGGTACGCATGGCACATTAAACTCAACCTGCCTTCCTAATGTCTCTTCCCACTTCTCTCCAGTACGCTGCCTGGGCTTTAGCATCACCTCTGAGTAAATGTTTCTCAAATACAACATGTATCCATGTCTTTGCAAATATAATAGCTTTACTGGACAGCCCTCCAACTTTATGGCTAAAGACCTACCTTATGTTTTACTTCTGTGATAGCTTCTCTGTTACCCCAGACTAAACCAGTCTGTTTATTTTTTGTTATAACATTTTCTTTTTATTACTGATAATGGCCGTTTAAAATAATGATACAATATATAATAATATAATATTGGGGGTAATATTTCTGTGTCTGTTGGTGGAGTCTGTCCTCTTTGGGGGTAGAGGTTACATTTTGTTTACTTTCTATCCCCAGTAGAGTGGCTGATTCATTAAAGGGGCTGTTCAATAATTTGTTTTAAAAAAGCTTTCAGCTCCTACTTTTAATAGCTATAAAAATACTAGTTTCTATAATCTAGATACCAAAAAATAGTATTTGGCTCACATCATGTAATGGTTAAGAGCATACATTCTCAAATTGTGTGCTATCCCATGCTGGCCAGACGTTGGCCTTTAAAACTAAATCAAATTCTTATTTAATTCTCATAGCAACCCTACAAGCCATATATTTGTGTGTAAAGGGGCATGTGTGTGTGCCTATGGCTAATTCAAGGCCGTAGAGAGTATACAACATTATTTATATCTGTATGTTTTCTAATGTCTATATATTGGCTTAAACATTAGAGACTACTAAACGTCTAATCACTAGGTAAGACGACAGTCCTGGAATAGTGATAATTCTTTGTAACTCCTTCTACATTCAGTTGTTCTTAGTATACATGAAATAGTGATCTTTTTTTGAAAGTACAGTTATTGTATCTTACAGGCATTTTATTTTTACTGTCAAAACTGAAAAGTTGGTATTGAAGAATACAATATAGAATTAAAGTTTAGGTATAGGAGGACCAGAAACATTTGCTAAATCAAAGAAAAACTAAAATCAGTTAAATTTTTTTGAAGTGATATTTTTAGGCCCTTACATGTTTTAATAACTTACTTTCTATCTTTGAAATAAGGTGTTCCTATTGTATCAAGTATTGCCAATTTTGTCAGTACTTTAATTAAATTATAAAATGTATTACCATTAGGAAAAAAGAGCCGATGCAAAACTGCTTATGTTAGGAAATGCTTCATAGACTTACATGAGCAATGCTTTCTCAGATCTATAAATTAAATATTTTTCTTTAATAAATGTGGGAAGTTTCCTCTAAATCGAGTAGTTTCCCTGTGTATGAATTTGGCTCCCAGCTGCTTGGTGCCCTTGTTGCTCCGGTTTCCTTGTTTGGGAATGAAGTGTAGTGGACTCAACATGATGCCTCATGGTGCACTGGGCTCCTAAAAGGAGGGCTGGACCACACATAAACTTGCTTGTTAATTTCCATCAAGCTTCAATGGCTTCATGGTACATCAGCAGTTCTTTTTCATAAATTATGAAATTTATAATGTTCATTATAAATAGTATGTCCCCCTAAAATGTTCACCCCCAATCCTAGGGTTTTTTTTTGTTGTTGTTGTTTTGTTTTTAAAGACAAGGTCCCACTCTGTCACTCAGGCTGGAGTGTCATGGTGCGATCTTGGCTCACTATAGCCTTGACCTCCCATGCTCAAGCAATCCTCCTACCTCAGCCTCCCAAGTAGGTTGTCACTACAGGTGCGTGCCATCACACCTGGCTAATTTTCATATTATTTGTAGAGATAAGTTTTTGCCATGTTGCCCAGGCTGGTCTTCAACCTCCTGGATTCAAGGGATCCTCCCTCCACAACTCCCCAAAGTGCTGGGATTACAAAGCATGAGCCACTGCACCCGGCTCTAATTTCTAGAATTTTATATTCTATGACAAGGGTGAACAAAGGTTGCTGACCATGAGATGAGATTGTTCTGATTATCTGGTGTGGCCCAGTGTAATTGCATGGCTCTTAAAAGTACAAAAAGAAAAATTTAAAGTTTTTAATTGATGTATGTCTCTACAAAAAATACATTCCAGTTTTCTGATCAGGTCTTACAAGGGTTATATGGTAGGTTCTTTATGTCCTCTAAATTATGTACATTGTAACAGATCTTTAGCCCTTTTTGTCTTGGAACCATTGATATCAGAGTTCTTCAAATAATTTGCTGTAAGTGAAGATGGGATGAAGATGATATATAAAGAGACATTTAAATTTAATGCCACTTAACTCATATTTTCATTCTCTTTGTCTCTAATCCACTCTTTATAATATTGTTCAGAGCTCTCTTAGAGCTTGGTAGATAATACTGTCTCCAACTTGTTAACTTTCTCTCATTAACTTTTCTCTCTAATCTGCTGTTTTGTCTATCTGTTTTGCATTTTTGATTGTGACAATTAACTTGAATTTCAAAAATGTAATTTACAGTAATCTTTTTTATTTTTGATTCCCTCTTCATTTCATTTAGAGTTACTTGGCATTTTATATCTCAGAATTCCAATATGTAATCTGAAGGGGTTAAATCTATTTGGGTTGTGTCTGTTGACTCTTATTTATAATGGCTGTTTCTTTTTGTTCTAAAGAATTAGTTCTCGGGCCGGGCGCGGTGGCTCAAGCCTGTAATCCCAGCACTTTGGGAGGCCGAGGCGGGTGGATCACGAGGTTGAGAGATCGAGACCATCCTGGTCAACATGGTGAAACCCCGTCTCTACTAAAAATACAAAAAACTAGCTGGGCGTGGTGGCGCGTGCCTGTAATCCCAGCTACTTAGGAGGCTGAGGCAGGAGAATTGCCCAGGAGGCGGAGGTTGCAGTGAGCCGAGACCGCGCCATTGCACTCCAGCCTGGGTAACAAGAGCGAAACTCCGTCTCAAAACAAAACAAAACAAAACAAAAAAAAAAAAATTAGTTCTCTAGAATCGTCTCTCATTCTCTCCCTTTCTTCTCTTCCTCCATTTTCTTTGTTCTCTTCTTTCCTCCCCATCCTTGGAGATTTCATTTTTCTTGTGAGCCCAGGAGTGCATTACAGTTTGTTTGTTTATTTTTGAGACAGACTTTTGCCTTGTCGCCCAGGCTGAAGTGCAGTGGCACCATCTCAGCTCACTGCAACCTTTGCCTTCCAGGTTCAAGCGATTCTCTTGCCTCAGCCTCCCGAGTAGCTGGGATTACAGGCATCTGCCACTATGCCCAGCTAATTTTTTGTATTTTTAGTTGAGTCAAAGTTTTGCCATGTTAGGCAAGCTGGTCTCAAACTCCTGACCTCAGGTGATCCACCCACCTCAGCCTCCCAAAGTGCTAGGATTACAGGCATGAACCACAGTGCCTGGCCTACAGTTTCTTTCTTTCTTTTTTTTTTTTTTTCTTTTGAGACAGAGTTTTGCTCTTGTTACCCAGGCTGGAGTGCAATGGCGCGATCTCAGCTCACTGCAACCTTTGCCTCCTGGGTTCAGGCAGTTCTCCTGCCTCAGCCTCCTGAGTAGCTGGGATTACAGGCACGTGCCACCATGCCCAGCTAATTTTTTGTATTTTTAGTAGAGACGGGGTTTCATCAGGTTGACCAGGATGGTCTCGATCTCTCGACCTCGTGATCCACCCGCCTCGGCCTCCCAAAGTGCTGGGATTACAGGCTTGAGCCACCGCGCCCAACCTATTTCTTGTATTATACCCATGATCAAGTTGTATGGTGGCAAGAGTTCCTTCAAAGTACTATTATCCCATCATAGTCACAGAATGAAAAGTATTCTGCAAATGGTTTCCTCAAGAGAGCATTTGTATGGAGGAGCCTTGGCATGCTACCAGCCCATTAGCAAATTTACTAGCATTCAGTGGTCCCTGCCTAATGCCGAAGCCCTACGTTCAGCTCCTCTGGTTTTAAAGGAGTCAGAGTCTCAACTCTGGATTCTAGTTCTGTTATTGTTCTTTGCCTAGACAGCAACCTGGCTTACGTTCCCTGCTCTGGTCTCAACTCCTTCCCTCCCTTTCTCTCTCCCTGTCTTCTTCCTCCCTGCTTATAGATTTTTTAAATTTCTGTATGTGCCTAACAATGCATTACAGTTTTCTTTTGTTGTGTTTTATACATGATTAGGTATATGGTGGCAAGAGTCTCTTCAGAGTATGTAGTATTCCATCGTAGTGGGAAGTGCAAGTATTCTGTTCTGCCAATTACTGTAAAGCCAGTCAGTTTTTTTATCTGTGTAAATGATAATAGGTAGAATAAAATATTTTGTAATTTGGAAGCAGTATTTTGAACATTCAGAATCCACATTCAATCTCAAATATGTTTGAAAGAGTGTAACATAAATTAATAAGTAAATACAAATAAGTTGTGTATATAGAGAAAAATACTGGCTAAATATATTTTACATGCAGTAATCATTTCTTCTCTGGAGAAAAAAAGATTAAACAAATCTGTAGTGCTGTGAATACACTAACAGTGTGTTTTGGGATTTCACAGGTCCAAAGGACTATAGCTAAGCAGATTCAGATGGTGAAACAGATTGGAAAAGGTCGCTACGGGGAAGTTTGGATGGGAAAGTGGCGTGGCGAAAAGGTAGCTGTGAAAGTGTTCTTCACCACGGAGGAAGCCAGCTGGTTCAGAGAGACAGAAATATATCAGACAGTGTTGATGAGGCATGAAAACATTTTGGGTGAGTAAAAGTCTGCATAGTTGTTCAGGGTTTCCTAGCTTTCCTCTGTCTTTCTGTTAACATCTGCATATTAACTCATCTGTCTAGACTCGTTGTGAAATGTATTGAAGTTTTCTTCTTGGCACGGGCCCAAGAACATCATAAGTTTCTAATGGGAGACCTCACAGGAGGAATGACTAAGGCCCTTCTGTGAATAAATGGTAGGCTGGAAATGGAATACTCTCTCAAATATTTTTTCTTCAGAAACAGGAAATGCAAGTGTAATACCAGAATTTTTTTAGGATTTCTTAGGCATTTGAAGAACATATTTTTGTTAAAATGTTAAGAAATGTAAGAATCTTATTTGCAGGGTTTATTTATATCATTAGTTTCTATTGAGAATTGATTTTGTTTTCTCAAGTTAGAAATGATCTATCTGGATCATTCAAGTAGAAAGAGTAAAAGCTAATCCTTGGCGTATATTCCTTAAATCAAGACTCTGTTTTGTAAACAGTGTCTTATGCGTAACTATAATACCGTAAAGTACTTTAAGCATCAACTAGTTTATGGGTACCAAAAAGCAACCATATTTTCAGATGTAAACTCTTAAGCTTTCTTTACTCCTACATTTTTTTGGAGGGGGAGGGGACAAAGTCTCACTCTGTCACCCAGGCTGGAGTGCAGTGGTGTGATCTCTGCTCACTGTTCAAGCAATTCTCCTGCCTTAGCCTCTTGAGCAGCTGGGATCACAGGCATACACCACCATGCCTGGCTAAATTTTATACTTTTAGTAGAGATGGGGTTTCACCATGTTGGCCAGTCTTCCTTGAATTCCTGACTTCAAGTGATCTGCCCACCTTGGCTTCCCAAAGTGCTGGGATTACAGGCGTGAGCCACTGTGGCTGGCCTTACTTGTATAATTTTGATTGCTTCTTATTGGTGTTAGTAATGTAATATCATCATAGAGGTAATCAGGAAATTGAATGAAATGCTAAACAAAAAATGCCTATGACGAAGAATGATGTTTGAGAATATGAATTATTCCTGACGCTATTCAGAAAACACTAAACCTTTTCATCTTTTTTCCTTGTAGGTTTCATTGCTGCAGATATCAAAGGGACAGGGTCCTGGACCCAGTTGTACCTAATCACAGACTATCATGAAAATGGTTCCCTTTATGATTACCTGAAGTCCACCACCCTAGACACTAAATCAATGCTGAAGTTAGCCTACTCTTCTGTCAGTGGCTTATGTCACTTACACACAGAAATCTTTAGTACTCAAGGCAAACCAGCAATTGCCCATCGAGATCTGAAAAGTAAGAACATTCTGGTGAAGAAAAATGGAACTTGCTGTATAGCTGACCTGGGCCTGGCTGTTAAATTTATTAGGTTAGTATCAAAGTGAACAAATACATGTTTTATGACTCTTTTCTGTTACTTTTTAGAGATTAGTTTGTAGGGCAGTAGAGTAATAGCATTAATTTTGACATTTGACGGGGGTGACCACCAAACATTTTTTTAGCAACATAGCGTATTTGGGTCAGTTTTGTTGTGTCAGTGTTCCTCAGAGAAGTTGCTTAGAAACTGTTCACATTAGGTTTACAGCCTTATATAGAAAAAAGGTAGCTAATACCTGGGAATATGTAGTCATAATGCTGTATAACATTTGCCAGTAGGAAAAAGTTTTAGGGAAAATTCACAGATTATATTTGGATAAAGACAATTTTTATATGGTATAGGAAAGACAACTTGCATAGGTGTTTTATGAGAAATGTTAGAAGCTAATAAAACACAGCTGTTGTTCAGTACTATTATCCTGTACCTGAAACAGTGAATTTAACATCTGTGCACATAAACCAGAGCATGTTGTAAAACAGTGATTTTCAGACTCCCAGAGCTGCTTGGGTTACGTCGGCAGCTTCTGCACAGTAGGGAGGGAGGTGATGGTTGGGACTCTATTTTGCTCACTCGCACTTTATTCGGAGCGGCTCCTTCCATCTCATAGATGATTTAATTAGAAGAAACGGGTTCTCTGTTTGTAAAACAAAACAAATGAAATGAGCTTTCAAACCCTGGCATAGAGAAATCGTCGGATAACTACCTTTTAAAGAACTCAGTTTAGGCTTAGCCATTATGAAATTTTTGGATCAACTTGTGGATTTTTCTAGGGAAGACTCTGTTATACATGGAGAAGAGCACAGAGAAAAAGCCATGGAGATGATTAAAAGTTTGGAAAGTAAAACTCACAAGAAAAGACTAATGGATTAGTATTTTTGGCCAGAAGTAAGAGAGAGCTGAGATGTGATTTAATAACATGCCCCAAATATATAAAGGTCTTCAACATTTAAATGATGGGAAATTGAAGTTCTTAATCTTTAAAAACAAAGCGAGAGAAAATGATTTGGGCTATAGTTTTAAGTTAAAAGTATGAACCTCCTGCCAATAAAGATTATTAAATCCTTTCTTCCTTCTGATTTTTTTCTCTGACCTACAACCCTTTTCAAGTCTTCCTATAAAAAATAATTCTCACAAGGCTTCTCAAATTCAGCCTCTCTCTCCTTCTCTCCCGTGTTAGAGTTCTCCCATGAGTTTCAAAGGATCATCTGCTTTCAAAACCCAGCAATTTGTAATAGTCTGAAATGTGGCTTCTGTGCCGTTCTCTGTGGACCCTGCTTTATTCAGAGACACCACTGGACTTGGTCACCAGAGGCCTTCTGTGTTGCCATCCCCCTGTCCACAGGGTCCAAACCTTCCTTCCTCTAGTTTTCTTGGTGTGCCTCTGTACTCCACCTTTCCTTTTCTCTTTCGCCACTGGCTCTGCTCCGTTTTACGTCTTGTGTATTTTCCCACTGCTAGATTTCCGGCTGTATCTGCACTTCCTTCCTAGTCCCCCGTTTTAACATTAGGTATCTGACATCATCTTTTGGTCCCTAACCTTTGGTTTGCTCAAGTGAGTGAATTTTCTCTCCACAATATTCCCATTTGTACGGGGCCAGTGTGGGCCTTCTATACCATTTTTCTAGATTCTGGGGTGAAGCATTTTGAGTTTCTTTCTCATTGTCTCTCCTATTCCCAGTCTTTTGTACATGCTGCCACGAGATTTATTTTCTTGAAGCCTAATTTTGGGCATCAAAATAATTTCAGTTTCCTGTGGCTTTGTAGTAAAATGTAGTTAAGAGTTCTTTGTGCAGTTGGCTCTTTCTTTTCTGATCCTGCGGTCTTCTTTAGCCCTATTTCCATCACACTCCTTACCTTTGGCAAGATTTATTCTGAAGACTTTATACTTCTCATACCATCAAATGTTTATAACCTGCTTTTTATCATTACCTGAACACCCACATCCCTTCTCTATCTAGATAACACTATACTCATTTTCACAGTTTCTTCCTTTGAGACACTTTCTTTTTTATTTTTATATTTTAGACAAAGTCTTGCTCTGTCACCCAGACTGGAGTGCAGTGGCACCATCACAGCTCACCTGGAAGCCTTGACCTTCCATGCCCAAGCAGTCCTCCCACCTTAGCCTCCTGAGTAGGGACTTCAGGCAAATGCCACCATGCCTGGCTAATTTTTTTTTATATAGATGGGATCTTACTATGTTGCCCAGGCTGGTCTCAAACTCCTGGACTTAAGTGATCCTTCTCCATCAGCCTCCAGAAATGCTGGGATTATAAGCATGAGCCACCATGGCTGGGCCACCTGCTGTTTTTATTCTCTGTTCTTGTTTCTTCCAAGGTAATTCCGTACTTGTTATCGTGAAATTTCTTGCCTGTTGTATAGTGATCATTGACTACTTACTGTCACTCTGAATGGAAAGCAAGCCCCTTGAAAGTAAATAACGTGCATTTTTCAGGTTTGCATTTCTAGTGCCTTTCCCTGGTACTCATTACTTAACTTTTAATAGATAAATGATTCCATATGGAACACAGGATGAAGAAAAAAGCACGTTTTTCCTAGCACCAGAGATCGTACACATTCTGGATGAAATCCACCTTTCTAATCATATATTCTACAAACTCTCCAATTTGTATGTTTTCTTTTGCAAAACTGAGCTACTTGCATTTCTCCTTATATGCCCCATGCTTGCTGTTGCCTTGTTCTTGATTGCACAGTCCTTAGCTGGGAAAGTCCCTGTTTTTCCATGTGTCTTTATCCAATCTCAGAATCACCTCTAAGTCACTTGATTCATCTTCCAGCTGAGAATAATGACAGCATCTTCTGTACCACACTGTTGTAATTTCCCGGTCCTTGTCTGCTTGGTTTTATAATTATTTTGGGACATGCCTCATTTCTCAGCAGGGCATCTTGAGAGCAGAATCCATGCCAACTTAATTCATGTATTTCCCATTTAACATGACATAATGAGTTACCCATTATAGGCATTCTGACATTGTTGTGAATCAGTAAATGTAGGCAATATCAAAGTAATTGAGACTCATCTCCTTTATAGACCTTAAAACAAAAAAGGAAAGTGAATATCTATTATATTATAGAAATTTAGTTCTGCTTAATGGAAGGAGAATGAACTGAATGACCTCTCAAATTTCATGCAAACCCTGATTCTAGGAAGTAGAGGGGACTATTTTAAGGAATCATTCAGAGATTTATTTGGCATATACTGACTAGTTCGTCAAGAGATGAGAGATGGACAGATGGAGATCATGGCTCTGATGTCGGCTGTGAGGACTCATATGGCCACAGCCTAGCTGTGTGGGGCCATTTACCTTTCTGGGCTTCAGCGTCATCTTCCATTACACGCAGGTTGCATTTGATCATTTCAAAGGTGCTTTTTCTAGTTTTATTTTCTGTTTCAAAGTTTGCTCTTCTCAGTTTTTGAGTCCAATTTTTAAAACTTGCTTTATGCGTCTCTTTCGTTTCTACTCTTTTTTCACTGATTGGTATTGTATTTGTGCACATATGCATGGATATTTAGACTTGAATTACAAGTGAAGTCACATCTAACCCTGTGCAGAATTATCAGACTTCATAGGAGAACTTCCCGTGAGAACTTACCCTGGTCTCTGTGTAGTGCTAAGTGTTCTCTTAGGCTTTTGAGTCATTTCTGAAAGGCTCCCAGGGAAGTTGAGAGTCACAGAGTGGGAACAGACTGTGCCTTAGAGATTTCCTGCCCATATAAATTTTAAAATCCTGTATTGGTTTCTTCAGGTATTCTCTTGAAAACGATGTAAGTGCTGATGCATTTCCTGCTCAGCAGAAATTTAATCCAGGTGATGTGTTGGCGGACATCACCATTACCCTGAGCCTCTACTGGGAGGAGAAAGCAATGACACATGAAATGCCTTGAAGAAACTTATAGAGCTTTTCACTTTTCACTCTGAAGAATTCAGCAACCCCTCTGATACTTCAGTGTCAGAATAAAAGGTTTTCATATGGGAAAAATAAATCCTGACTTAGGGCTCTCAGGTTTTAAATTTAAATAGAAAACCTGCAGTGAAGACTAGTCCTTCACACTGATGTCCGGTGGGACATCAGTGATCAAGTTGATTGTCAAATTAGCCAAGTGTAAAAGAGATAGGGCAGCTTAGCTCAGAGGGTTCTGAATTTCTTGAGTCTTGCTGATACGATTCCTTTTAGCACTGCTTTTAAAAAGTGATGTGGCTAAATGACTCACTGAAGTCATAAAACAACACTCATTTGTGATTTAGTGAACACTCCCAGTCAAGGTTTCTGCAGCCATAGCCACCTTAAGTTGAAGACTTTTTAGTTCTCAAGTTCTGTTTCTAAGATACCCTGAGATTTCTTGGGATTTTATTATAGCAGCAGCGAATCTTGATGAAAGTTGCTGCAGAAAATGCCCCTCACTGGTGAGCATCTGCCAGGTAGAGTTCAGTTCTGCAAGTCAGTTCCTCAGCTATCTCCAGGATGCCGCAGGAAACAGAGCGATGTGCACAGCCCCTTCTTCCACAGACTTCTGAGACTCTTTCATGTTTTGAGGGAATCAAAGTCATCTTACCGAGAGATGATTTAACATCCTGTGTAGTATATGTTGTGTTTAGTTAATTGCAGACATCACTTACAAGCCACAAGCAAACCCATGGCCTCCCTCACATGTGTCTCATGCCTCCTTTTTTCAGGCATTCTTTTTTTTTTTTTAAATATATATTTTATTGCACTTTAGGTTCTGGGGTACATGTGCAGATCATGCAGGATTGTTGCATAGGTACACATATGGCAATGTAGTTTGCTGCCTCCATCCCCATCACCTACATCTGGCATTTCTCCCCATGTTATCCCTCCCCAACTCGCTACCCCCCACTGTCTCTCCCTGAGTTCCCCCCAATGGACCCCAGTGTGTGATGCTCCCTTCCTTGTGTCCATGTGTTCTCATTGTTCAACACCTGCCTATGAGTGAGAACATGCGGTGTTTG